TATTTAAATATTTTAATGTATACAAAATGTATTTTCTCTCCTCTACCTATACGCATTCAAGGTTAATATTCATATTTCTCTATGAATTCCATCATAAATTATTACTTAAAACTCTTAGATTCATTTTGTAAGTGGTTATTGTTGAAAGACTGTGATATGATTTCTATGCACATAGGTTAAAGAAAAATAATTAGATTTTCCGTCACCTTAGATTACAAACTTTAGGTTTTTTTAGGTTGGTTTTATCAAGTCGTGAAAAATGTATAAATCAATAAAATCAAAGACTCAAAGTTGAAGGCTTTCAAGATTGGATTTGTAGTTATTATAGTTTAATAACAAGATGATTAAAAGGATTTCAAATTTTAAGAATTTTTTAATTATAATAAATATTGAAGGCATTGATTTAAAAGGGTGTAAGATCATTGTGTTAAAGAAATTTATTGTTTCCATAAAAGAAAGAAATTCATTGTTGTAATCATACCATTAGAGAAACTATGCATATTCACTGCCTCCTCTTCAGCCCTAATTTGTATTTTGTTTCTCTTTTCTACTTAATTGTATTCATTTATTATTTTTTAACCCATTAAATTTAAGGCAAAATGGCATAATGAAAAAGGCAGGAGATGATTTGTAATCTTGATGTTTTAATTTTCAATTAGGTAAATTAATTTTGATTTGCTGTAAAATTAAAATAATAAGATGTAGTTGTTGTTTTTTGACCGATATACCCCTACCTCTCGTTTTCCGTAGATTGTATAGTTGCCACCATCGTCACACACACATTCAATCAATTTGATCAGATACACAACAGAACTAACAACACCATGGATAGGGTATTCCCCGTCGATGAAATTCCCGAACACTTCTGGTCACCGCCGATTCATCTCTCCGGCGCCGATGATTCCTCCAAGATGAGCCGCAGTGCTTCCGAGTGGGCTTTTCAACGCTTCATCGAAGAAGCTTCGGTTTCTGCCACATCTCCCCCTTCTTCTTCCTCTGTCGCTGACGACGCTCTTTACATCGACCCGAACACTAAGTCCACCACCGTCGCACCAGGTTTGTCCAATGGACATCCTCATCTTCCGCCGGTGGTGGCCGTTGATTCCGAGGAATATCGGGCTGTGTTGAAGAGTAAGCTTAATCTTGCCTGTGCTGCGGTGGCCATGACTAGGGTATTTTCGATTTTCCCCTTTACAATGTGAAACGATTCCAAATTGAGTTTTGAATTTGGATCTGTCTTGATTTGTTTTATTCATGTTTTGATAGTTGCGTGTTGAGAAAAATATCATTTTTTTATTCTTTTGCATTCTTGGTTCTGATTCTTTCGAATATTTCTAGTTTTCGTTTTTCTGTTCTTCTAGTTTAGTTGATTGTGCCGGAAAGAATATTACTGCGAAAGTTGATTCATGTAGCCGACTCCACTTAGTGAGATAAGGCTTGGTTATTGTTGTATGTTTGTGTATATTGTTAGTTTGTAAATCGCCCGCTTTGCATTTACTTTTGGTCATCTGCAATTCTACATCTCAATTGTACTCATTCCAATTGCATTTACTTTGTAGTTTTGTGTATGATCTATTACATTTACATGGTTTGAAAATTGAGTTAGCCAGCTTCCATTTTGCTTATGTTTTCACACTTAGAATTATTTAGAATTATGCATGTATGTAATTTTTGTTTCTTACTCATTGCAATAGGGTTCTTTGTCTAAGTCTCAAGATCTAGCCTCTTTTCCTAAGAATGGATCACAGTCGACTAATCCTACTCAAGTTGGACCTCAGCCCATTTTTGAAGGTTTGAATCGATAATTGTTTTTGTATATATGAAAATCAAGAAGATTATTTTAAGGAAGTGGATCACATCCATAAATAACTTAGTGGTAGCTGAATGCTGATATCTTAATATAAAATAGTAAATTAGTAACTACTGTTAGTATTCACATGAGTAGGGTGAATGCATAATCTATGTTTACAAGTTTGTTTTAATCAAAATGCTTTATTCTCTTTAAATGACCTGTTAAGTAATTTCTCGAGCAGCTTTAGGGCTATTTTCTTTCTCTTAATATGAATAACTGATTTTGAATTATGTCAAATATATCTATTTATATAGGATCTGCTCCTTCTGGAAACGATCCACCTATATTACTAGATAAAGATGCCAAAGTACCACCTGCTATCCCTTCCATACCTCCTGTGCAGAAAAAACCCGTTATTGCAATTAGGCCATCAACAAGTGGATCATCAAGAGAGCTATCAGATGATGACGAAGCTGAGGGAGAGACAGATATGAATGACAACACAGACCCAGCTGACGTAAAACGAGTAAGGAGGTATCATTTCTCTCAATATTTACTGAATTTATCATTGCAAATGCTTTTTCTGTTATATACTGTACATTGAGGAATTAACGATTTGGAAAATCATCTAATTGGCTCCATAATGCTTTAGAAGTTTGTTTTATCGAGTATGATTTCCTTGCTCCTTCTTGCTAAATGAACCAACTGACAGGCCTGCCTAAAAAATTGTATCCAACCGGTGTCAATATCTTATTTTTCTTTTTCACAACTGTGCGCAAATTGTTGATGTGGTTGCATCAATTTTTCCTTTGAGCTCCGTTTTTTTCTCTCAAACTAAGATGTGAACAAAACCCTCTTGAAGGTAAGATGTTGTATTTCAATTAAAGGGATTATGCATCTGCTAATTTATACAGTAAGTTGAAAAAAAAAAGATATTATCCGTAAGCTACTACTATGCTTACCTTGATTTTTTTTCTCAGCTGAGCCTGAGAATAATTTTTTTTTTTAAACTTTTTGTTATATTATGAAACACTCATTTGTTCGATTTGAGGACACATTCTACCTTGGTTAATTCAATGTCTAATGACATCTATCTGGCAGGATGCTTTCCAATAGAGAGTCAGCAAGACGCTCAAGACGAAGAAAGCAGGCTCATTTAACTGAGTTGGAAACACAGGTGTGTGTATTTTATTTTAGATCTGGGTTCTTCTCCCTCTACAATTTTTTTATTAGTTGATTAGTTCTTCCATAGAGATTTTCATGTTTTCTGACCTTATATTTGTATCTTAGGTTTCACAATTAAGAGGTGAAAATTCTTCCTTGGTAAAGCGCCTCACTGATGTAAGCCAAAAGTACACTGATTCTGCTGTTGACAACAGAGTGCTAAAAGCTGATGTTGAAACCTTGAGAGCAAAGGTAAAAAACTGCTGTAACAAACCACTCAATTTTTATCTTACGATGTTTTTCGTGATAAGCTAGTGGTTTGACCTTGTCTAATAGAGCTTAAAATGGAAGTAATATTGATTTGTAACGACAAAGATCTGACATGTTTCTGGTTTCGAATCATATTATTCTCTCAATCAGGTGAAGATGGCTGAAGAGACTGTCAAAAGAATTACTGGATTGAATCCGATGTTTCACATCATGCCTGATATGTCATCAATGGGCATGCCTTCATTTGATGGAAGCCCTTCAGACAATTCGGCTGATGCAGCTGTTCCTGTGCAAGACGATCCACATCATCACTTCTATCAACCTGCATCTAATAATCCTATGCTGTGTCACGAAATGAGAGTCAACAATGGGCTGGGAGAAATTTCTTCAATTGAAAATGTGCAGCAGAATAATGCCGCAGCAGTTGTAGGTGGTGGTAGCAAGGCGGGGGTTCAAACAGCTCCTCCCGTGCACCGGGTGGCTAGCTTGGAACATCTTCAGAACCGAATTCGAGGTGGCGTCGATTCTTGTGAACCTTCTAATGGAGAGCAGTAATTAAATAGCCATATATTGTGGTTGATTTAGTCAAGGAATTACTCTTGAACACTCATTTATGTATTATAAGTAAAGTTCTATTCTTAAATACTTGCAAATCAATTTCACGGAGCACATGATGCTCAATCAGTGCACTCCATATCTTCTTTTGGGTAAAATACCCAACCCTCATTTATAGATTAGAAATCTCTTAACTTATTAAAAAAAAGTAATAGAAGACATTTTTTTCATTACCCCTAATAATTTTTTTAGTAAATAAATGTATTACCCGAACCGTTGTCAACTCCTACAGATTAACCGAATCGATGTCCAACTCTACTGGTTAGATGGCTGCTTAAATAATTGGACTTGGATAAAATAAAATTGAAAAATAGTACTAGTTATAAATAAAAAAAATGGTACAAACGCAATCACAAAATATAGGGTGAACCATTGAAAATCTTAACGCAGTCCCACCCAATCCTCAACCCAATCGTAACCATTGATATCCACTCATTTAGCAGAAACCAGTAAAAAGAATCTAAACCAAAAATGGAGATAACACTTTCCATTTCTTCATCTTCAGTTATTCCGACTAAGCTACCAATAATCTCTTCATCCTATTCCAATTTATCCTTCTCAGCTTCCAACTCTAACACTTGCTCACTTCTCTTGAAGAAAGCCAAAATCAAAACCAGAACAACAAAGAGTTTCACTTGCAATGCATTCTTCGGTCTAGGTGTGCCTGAGCTTGTGGTTATTGCAGGAGTTGCTGCTCTTGTTTTCGGTCCCAAGAAACTGCCCGAAGTCGGTCGCAGCATCGGCCAAACTGTCAAAAGCTTTCAACAGGTTCCATATTTTCTTCTTTACATAATTAAATAACATATTTTTTAAAATAATTGCATAAAATTTTGTAACTTTGATAATTATGTTTATGTTGAAGCTAGTCAGTTTTTTATTTATTAGATTTTGAAATATTGTAGGCAGCAAAGGAATTTGAGACAGAGCTAAAAAAGGAACCAAATCCTACAGAAGAAATCTCTGTTGCGAGTGAGCAAGAGAAGCAAGACATTAAGGTTTCTAGTACAAAGGATAATGTATGAGATGATATATGCTAAGTAGAGATTTCTTAGTAATAAAATTGTTCCATGGTGTTATTGTTATGCATTTAAAACAAGTGTTATTCTATTAATTAAGATAGAAAAAGTCTCTGATTTCATCTCTATCTAACTAATTTTTGATGGCTTTTGCGGTAGTTGAGTTAACCTTTTTCTGTTACAAGGAACATGGGCAGGTTAGGTATATAATTGAGAAACTTTACCTAAAGCAAAACATATTTGTTGAGAGGTTGGTCATTATTTTGAGATTTCCTCAACTTCAAATGGTAGAAGATGATTCAGTGAATCACACCAACGTTGATGCAATGAAAAGTAGTAAAATAAAGCAGTATTTAGCTTTTAAAAAATCACGCCCAGTGGGACTCGAACCCACAATCGCTTGATTAGAAGTCAAGCGCCTTATCCATTAGGCCATGGGCGCCTTGTTGATTTCGTTTGTTTAACTTTTGTAATTCATCGATGTTGTTAAAGAGTTATACCTCAATTGCTTAACTTTTTTAAAATTATTGACTTCATTCGTTATAGCTTTTTTTTATCTTAGATTGGGAATTCCAAGTGTTTTCAATATTCTGTTTAAATTGTTGATCTATTTTACCTCTTTATAAGTTATTTTAAAATTACATTAACTATTTGTTTATTAATCACTAATATATATTATTTTGGCAATTATTTCACATCTACACCAATGTAGAGATGACTGAGTTAATAGATTTTATAAAAAAAATTGAATAAAATATAAGAATAAATTGTAAAATATTTAAAAACATTAACTATTTGTTTATTAATCACTAATATATTATTATTTTGGCAATTATTTCACATCTAACCAATGTAGAGATGACTGAGTTAATAGATTTTATAAAAAAAATTGAATAAAATATAAGAATAAATTATAAAATATTTAAAATGGTTATTTACATAGAAATAGACGGAAAACATGCAACATATTATATAATTAATTATTTTTGAATGAAAAAATTAATCTTTTCAAAAACTACATTCATCTATAAATATAGAAAACACAATATTTTTACGCATAATCCTATAAACTCTTTTAAAAAAATCTATGGTTTTGGGACTAGAAACTCAAAAGTATCAAAAACAAATGACATAAAAATAAGTTAATTGTCTTCATAGGATTTCTCATGTCTATCATCTTTTTTTAAGTGACTTTGAGAGATATATCCTACGTTAAAATCCTTAATTTCACAATTAGATAAACTCCAATCAAATTCACACATGTATGTATATTTTTCTCCTACATACCTATACACCATAACATACGTTGGCCCAAATGTTGATCTTCCCTCTTATGTGTTAGTCAAAAATTTCAAATGTGTCTCTTTCTTTATTGATACTTCATCCCTCCTAAATATATAAAATATGAACATTATGGTCTCCTAAAAGCATATAGCCAAACCTTACAACAAACAAGACAAATCTCATAAATAAAAAATAATGGAATCATGAAGATATACTTAAGGATGCTGTGATACTCTACTGGTGACTTATGGTGGCCTAACTAATCAATAAGAATAACTAAAATAAAATCTTGAGTGTGTGATGCTTGCAAACATCTAAAGATTGTTTTTTGTCTTGTGGTTATATCAAACTTTACTTCCACGACCTGCACAATTTCACTTAAAAAGACACTTGCCAAAAGACGTTGAGCTTTAGGGGGACAATGTCCTTGTTAGAAAAATAGTTAAGGTCAAAATCTAGAATCATACCACCAAAATCATCCCAAGCCCTGTCAAAATTAGAGTTCATACTACATATCCCTCTGTCTCTTGTAACACTTAAGATTGAGCCTTAAAATACACCAAAACGCATGAGAGAGCATTTACTACTGAGTACAAACTCGACCTCTAATCCTAATAAGTAAATAAGTCACCCTTCATTGAAAATTCATGAATAAAAGACCTCCACCAACCACAAGTCTTCATCTTTCCCTCATAACTCCTCACTAAACCAAATAGCTACCCCTTTATATAAATCGATTGGAATGTCTTTAGGCCAAAAAAATAGTTTGGCAATATCCATACACAACAAAAGTAAAAAAAAAACTAACTATGTGGATCCTTTAACTAGAAGAAGATGCATTCATCCAACAACCCTAAAAACTCTATTCATAGATAACCCCTCAATAAATTTTTTATCCCTATTAACACTCCCTCGTAGCAACTTCATCTGCAACACCACTAATGTGCCATCTAACATGCATACCATATTGTTTCAAGTAATAATGTGGTGGGTACCAAATTATAAAACACATAGATTTAAATTAGCGCTGAGTTTCATTTTATATTTGTTGAACAAAAATAGTTTTGATTGGTTTGTTTGGATGTTGAAAACGAGAAATAAACATCTATAAAATTAATAATTAATGTTTTTCGGGGATGAGCATAATCTGGCTTTGTCCTTGCACACCTTGTATAATCTTTCTAGCTAATTTATTTGTTTATATTATTGTGATTACTCATTCTCAATATATTTAATCCCAAATCCTTAATGATTAGACTTTATCCACTCAGACAAATCACTCAAGTCCTTAATAATTTGCAATCTGAGGCGAAGAAATTAATTAAGGTAGTGTGGATTCTCTGATTTATTTAAAATCTCACATAATTTGAAATCCTGAAATTTAATTTTCCTTTTTTATTCTCTTAATTTTCTTTCTAAACTTCAGTTTTGATAATGATAAATACATTATGGTTATGATGAAGATATTTCTTATTCCGATTAATACAGTTTTTTACAATGAAGATATGGATGTTAATTTGGCTCATACCCTATGGGTACCCGTTAAAAAATATCCATAACGGATATGGTAAAAACCTGTAAAATGGATACAGATACGGGCACATGTAATTATCCATTAAAATAGGCGAATATGGATGTGGGTACGGGTATCGTACTGATCGTACTTGACCAGAATAGATTGTCAAAGCCCACGAGCTTCGAGTTGTACAGCAGTTATAGATGAGATGGAGAGGGGGGTGCCTGCAAGACACTTTGATGCCAAAGTAAGGTTCAGAATGATGCAAGCAGGTATGAGTGAGTGAGATAGAATGATTCAATATCTGACTCTCTCAAGTGAGAGGGTATTTATATCCCTTAGCGCTGGGCAAAGGTATCCAATGTTGGGCCACGATGAGGCCCAATAATGAAGACTTCCAGGGCTTATGTGTGTATGGATTCCCGCACGTGGACTCCCCCCTGGTCAACTATTCTGAGAGAACAGGTGCTGAACCCGTGATTCCCAGAGGGAAGTTACGATGATGATGATACAAACATGTGGGTCACGTTCCCCAACAGAAACATGGGGAGTTGCCCAATGATCCCCAACTTGGGCTGCTTATCTTTGGGCCTTATGCAAGGGTGTTGGATTGGACCTCCCCAACAGTGGGGCAAGCGCTGGCCCAGTCCAGATCAGGAGTCTCCCAAGTTATTTCCTTTAGGTGAAAGGGTGATGACTTAAGATCAGCTTTACGGTCGGGGAGAATTTTCTCGAGAAGGGAGATCGTAACCCTCTGACAGAAATGAGTTGTTTGCCTTTGTCAGGGATAACCTGTTTAACCGTGTCTGGGATCTCGTGAACACGCGAGCTGGGAGGCTAACTAGGTCAATTGTTCGTCCGATGCCTGTCAGGAATATATAGGTTACAAGGAGCTTCCCCAGACTCCTTTTCAATGTGCCCGATCTCAAGGTGTGGCTACGATGTCGAGTGTTATTTCGTCCTCGAGGTGGAACATGATGAATATGCACATATGCATGTTTTAGCCATGGTGTCGAGCATTTCGACGTGCGAGACATCTTCATCGTGCTCGAGTATGATGTTTTGTATGGAAGTCGGGAACATATTCGTCTTTTGAGCATGGACATGTGTCTGGTTGTTGCGCCACATGGCTGTTATTTTAGGGTTCCATCTTTTCATGGAGAGTCCAAAAGGCCCAAACTAATGATGATTTTTCGTGATAAACCTCGTGGGGTGTGAGCCACCTATAAAAAGGGAACCCCAGGGTTTCATTTATTATTCTCAAGTTTTCTTCTGCAATCTTCCTTGTTCGCGCGTGGATCCTCTCCTCTCAACTTCTCCTTAGAGTTCTTCAAGGCATTCTTATCCAAGTAAGTCATATCCTCCTAATCAACATGTTTTCTTCAGAATTTTTAAATTAAACGCTTAGTTTTTGTCTTGATTTGAAGAATCTTGGATGAACATTCATGGGTTTTGTGATGAACACACCTGAATGTTCATTGAAGTTCATGATAGTGGATGAACTTCATGATGTCAGGGTCGTTTTCCCCGAATAACGGGGGTTGATTCAGGCACCTTACTCGTTTGACTAGATGTCCCCCAATATAAGCATGGTTTATTTTAGTATGCAGTCGGGGGCTTGGGTCAAACTCCATTCCTCGACGAATTCATCGCCCTTTCACTTGATTTACGGTGGAAGAGTGAATTTGATGATGTTGAGTTCACTGTTTTCCTCTACTTTTCAGGTATAATGGCACATATAGTCACGGAGGACTTCTTACCCTCCAACCATGAAGATGAAATCAATGTCGAGGAGGACCCTTTGGACTAGGTCACACCTGAGCCTAGAAATAAGAGGTCGTGCTTTTCACACGATGCATCGAATGTGTTTAACTGTCTAGAGGTTCGAGCTAAGAGGGCCCCCGTCAACTGGACTCTACAAATTCCTCATCGTAATAGGAGGATATACTCGACGTATCTGGGCAGGCGCTTCCCCATGTACAAATTTGCATTCGAGGAGGTGGGGATGCGTTTTCCCTTCAATGACTTCTAAGTGGGGTTTTTCCAATGGCTACAATTGGAACCCTCCCAACTTCACCCGAATGCGCTTGCGTTCATGCGGGCGTTCGAGCTCGTCTGTTAATATCTACAAATAGGCGCTACGTTGCCCCTCTTTTTCCGTATCTTCCACTTACAAAGGCATTCCATTGGAGGGGGGCAAGCATGGGTGTCTTTCAAACAATTTAGGAAACTCTTTCGACCTTATTTGGAGTCTGTTCGTCATTTCAAGGAGAGGTACTTTGTCGTGAAGGCTCTGATGAACGCGACCGTAGATTCCCTATACAATCTCCTGGAAGAGATGGAGGATGGATGATCAGTTTCCCAGTTAGTGTCCAGATTTCCTCTCGAATGGCAATGGAAACATTTCGAGCAAAATCCCGAATACTATGTTGTAAAGCCAGAGGACTTAGACGCCCAGGATCATCTCTCATATGAGAAGCTGGCGGCCTATGTTAAGAGTTTCTCCCCAGCGATGTGTGTGGACGTGAATAACAACCTCCTCTTTGACGACAAAGGGGAGTATCTCCTTGTTAATAGGTTTATCAATACGAAGGCTCTGCTCGA